TAAATGAATTTCAAATTGTTTTCCTTTACAATAACTGGGAAGCACTTCTTAGACAGTTGTTTTTCAGGGAAAGAAGATGCCGCTCATTTGACTTCCTGGATGACACATAGGCTGCTAAACAGGGCGACAACACGAGAGAAAAGAAAAGGAGAATGTAGAAAAAATGAAGCGAGAGGAAGAAAGAAGAGAGCACAGAAAGCCAGGGATTAGGGGAATCCCCCAGGTAGACAGATTGTTGTGACTCATTGTGTCGAACTGCTCCACTATCTGATGCAGACTCAGCTCTGACACCTGTCCCCACTCCTAATGAAACAGCTCCCACAATCCTCTGCTCCACGATCTTTTGTTCCTTCCCTCCCTCTACTGTGTGTGTGTGTGTGTGTGTGTGTGTGTGTGTGTGTGTGTGTGTGTGTGTGTGTGTGTGTGTGTGTGTGTGTGTGGTGTGTGTGTGTGTGTGTGTGTGTGTGTGTGTGTGTGTGTGTGTGTGTGTGTGTGTGTGTGTGTGTGTGTGTGTGTGTGTGTGTGTGTGTGTGTGTGTGTGTGTGTGTGTGTGTGTGTGTGTGTGTGTGTGTGTGTGTGTGTGTGTTACCCACTCTTTTCCCTTCATGTGTCTGCGTGATTGTCTTTGTACTGTATACATGTGTGGGGAAGCCTTTGTATATGTGTATTATCGTGCTCCTCAGAGGAATGTGACGCCGGGCTTTTTATCCTGACTCTGATGCATCAGTAATAAGGAACGTGTGTGTGTGTGTGTGTGTGTGTGTGTGTGTGTGTGTGTGTGTGTGTGTGTGTGTGTGTGTGTGTGTGTGTGTGTGTGTGTGTGTGTGTGTGTGTGTGTGTGTGTGTGTGTGTGTGTGTGTGTGTGTGTGTGTGTGTGTGTCAGAGCACATAATGCAGTGGGGAGCAGAATGTGCAGCAGAGAGGCACAGATGTGAAGTGGTCTCATTGTGTGTGGCAGGACTTCCATGCCACATTTGCAGCAGATGCTTGAGCCAGTCCCTCCAACATTAACATAGACTATACTTCAGACTGGATACTCCACCACTTGTCACGGTATCCACACACACACACTCTTTTTTTCCCATGTTCCCTTTCCGGGCTTCTTTAGCCCTGTTTTCCAATTTGATTAGAGGCTAGAAGCAGTTCATTAGCGGCCTGTCGCCATCTGTGAATACTTTAAACTTTAACTGTCAGCCTCACTAATTGACAATCTGCTTTGCTGGCATTGATTTGATCTCCTCTCTGTCTCTCTTTCATCACTTCTTTCCTCCTGCTTCCTTTCCTATTACTGCTCTCTTACTACTACACAGCCACATTCATATCATGTTGGATTATCTGTTGTTTTGTGCTGCCAACTGGGAAACACCTGTTCATCCCAACCATACTGATAATTACAAGTAGTAGTTTGCGTATTGCTCAACTTTCCTAATGTGGGCGGGACAGAAATATACCTTTTTAAAATGACAATGAATATTGTCTTTAACTTAAGAATAGTTTGAAGGTGTGTTGCTAATGTCACATGTTTTGGCCACTAGGGGGCAGCAGAAACAATTGGAAAACGCAACACTGACATATTAGAATCTAATTATCTCCTTACCTCATTTGGAAAAGAGCCAGAACAAAGCTCTTAAAATTAATTAGCAAGTAGCTCAATGCTATACTGGTTTGATGCTACTATTGCCACACTTCCAATTACACTTAGTTATTTGATCCGTCTTTGATTCTAAACAATGATAAGATACAAAGGGAAATTATAGAACCTGGATTTTTTTTTCTCCTTTCAGAGAGTATATCAATCCTGCATCTCTATGGAAAGAAACATGGATAGGGGGCAACACAAACATATTTAGTGCAGTATTACAAAGTTAAAATGACACAAATCATAAAAAAGATTGAATTTGTCCACCAAACAATGAGGTGAAAGGGGGCTCCACATGCTTAACATTGAACAATTGATGTCCTCTCGTCTCTGCTACATTTAAACAGCCTGCACTTATCAAAGTTTCACAGGTGTTTGGTCACCTGACTGTTGGATTGACAGTAACTTACTAGCTACTTGAACTGACAGAAGTGTTGCATTGCAAATCAATCCTGAGAAGAGTGTATAGAAGCCACAAATCAATCATTCAAATGTCCATCATTTTGGCCATTCAAATGTTTGGCAATTTGGTGATTTTTAACAGAAAACAAGCCTTTAAGTTTAAACCCATCAGCGATCGTTGAGGTTCAGAGAGTTTGAAGATTTGACTTGATCTTATTTTCTGTATCAGAAAGTTATCGTCTTCTGTATCGTCTTAGATCTTAAAATATACTTCATTAGAGATGAAAAACACTTTTTAGAATGCTCCCTGTGTCTTATCTCCAAATATTCACATCTTTGACTTTTCCACCCTGCACCTCCCATATGGCGTGACTGCTCTCTGGCTGTGGGAGTGGGCTGTAGGGTGGTGAGGGGAGCAGAGGGGTCTCTCAGTGCCATTACGTCCAAACCCCTATCTCCCCTCTGCATCCTCTCAGCCATTCCCAGGCCAATCTGCAAGTCATTACCGATGCTCCATTAGACAGTGCCTCTGCACCGAGCACGCTCAAATTGAGATTACTCTGCAGAGTGCTAGGCTGCTGCTGCTGCGCTTTTTACTTTGGATATAAATTCCTGATTAAATACAATGCAGCTCCCACGGATTTATCATTGCAGATGCAAACATTTGCTATCCTAATGGGGAAATTACAGTTTGCCTAATGGTGCTTTAAGTCGAATTCAACCCAATTTACAAATTCTAGTTTGGTATTTGTACGGCCTTTATGATTGTTTACAGCATCTCCAGATGAATACCAAACACACATTAGTGGATATAACTTGTTGAGTGGTAATTAAATTATATTTGCGAAGCCCTTTCTGAACCACTTACAGGGTAAAATGTAATCAAGTCACCGCCTCCTTTTAGTCTTAAATAGGCTCGTGTTAATTGTCTACAAATGTAACATCCCAAAGTTCCCTCCAGGGGGAGTTCCTCTCCCGCACACTCCCCCCAGCTAACCAATCAGAACAGACTGGGCTCTGGTTTCAGACAGAGGGTGAAAAGAGGTGCTGCAGCACAGGCAGTATGAGAAAATAAAGCGCTTTTTGAACATTAAAGCACGGAGACATGTCCCAGTGGAGACACTAATACACATTAGCATAATAGCTCCCCTTCAAAAAAAACATTATTCTACAATGACTCAAGTCAATTGTTCTAATTATATATTATTTATCAATAATAAATGTGTGAAATCAATAGGGAGAGAGTTCCATAGTGTTGGAGCATGGATTGTCGAAAGCTAAATGTCGTTTTCTGATTTACTTTGGGATGAGAAAACGCTTAGAGGACTCAGTTATTTTCCTTCAATTAACATGGTGCAAAGCTTCTGTTGTTGCCACATTTGTATTGATTGAGGGGCATCAAGAAAGCGCTGAATGGAAGCGCTGACCCCTCACTCATCCCCCCCTCTAATCCCTCAGACTGTAGCTGTTTTACAACACTGCACAGTAGACTTAACACCGCTGCCTCAGGCTCTCATCTTTTTGTACAGGAACAAAGAATTAGAATATACTTTAGTGAATTCATTTAGGCAAAACTGCCTCGTTAATACTGGGAAGGGTTTGATTCCAAAATGGCTTGTACTCGTTTTGACAAGTAATGCCACGTTCAATATTCAGTTGTTCACAAAGAAGACGAGTTGATCCTCAGGAGTGTTGATCATGTGTAAGTGGAGGCTTTAGGAAGCTTGATTCTTCCAACATGAGAACAAAGGTGCTCAAATTCATTTAGAAACTTGTAGTGTGATGTTCTTGGCAAGACAAATATTCAGAGGCTATTATGTGCATAAGGTTGTTCTGTAATGCCATGCTACACATTCAATAACTTGTCAGTACAAATAAATAGCCTTTTTTAATGTACAATATTGTAGAATGTGAGATTCAAAGTCATTTGATATCATATATAAAGTCTAGTAATATCATACTCATAATCGTTATAATCATAAAGAAAGTCTAATGGCTATAAAACAATTATGAAATGATGATAACACAGAATCCATGTCGAAATACACACAGCTCATATCCACAGACAATGCCTTGAAGCGGGCTGTACCCTTGTTAGTTTGTGATGTCACAATGATACTTATAGTGGTAACAGTGCTGTTACAGCAATGCTTTCTTAAAGAAACAGGCGCAAAACAAAACGTGTTTCAGACCCAGGGGTTAATAAGGATATTCAGGCACAGTGCATGTGAAAGTATTTTGATGCAACTAAAAATGAATAAACCTAAAAAGCAGAATGATATGCCCCTTTAATGTATGTTACAGTGAATATGACTGGTTTGAATGCAGATGTTACTCTTATAGAGCAGCATATACATTATGATAAATAGTCTTTTTCAAGGTACCTGATTTGTAAGCAGTTTTATTACATGGCTTAGTTGAATACTCAATTCTGATTGGTCAATTCAGAACACGTGACATGTTGTTAATCCAGAACAGACAGACCGCTGTCAAGGATTTATTGACCGTTGTTAAGGACGCTCACATCTGCAAAAAGAAGTTTTGGTCGATTTAACTGTATACAGTTTGGCTGAAAAGCAAACTGCATGCAAGACGTGTCGGGCTCCTGATCTGCCTGTCGGGTGTTCGCCTCGCTGCACATTATCCCTTAGCTATGTAAAGACTTTAAAATGATCAAAAAGCCCAATTCACTAACTGTGCCTGCTAACTGTGCCTTCCCACAGCCCTTTGCACTTCCTTAAGATTGTAATGTCACTACTTCATATATAAAATAAGATTGTGCTGTTGTATGTAAGTATGTCAAACTGGTTTATAGGAACCAAGAAGAAGATGCATAACACGCCCCTTTCTCTGTACTTTACCTGTGTAAGATCTGTATTCATCTGCATCCCACTGAGAACATCTGCTCTATTTTCTAGTCACGTCTCAATATCTTTATTCATATGTTTCTCATCTGCAGGAGTGCCCTCAGATCCTGCCCTCTACTCAGATCTATATCCCTGCTGGAGTCATGCGGCCCATCACCCTGCTGGCCCAGAACCTTCCTCAGCCTCAGTCTGGACAGAGGAACTACGAGTGCATCTTCCACATCCAGGGCAGCACACACAGCGTCCCCGCGCTCCGGTTCAACAGCAGCAGCATCCAGTGTCAGAAGACCACGGTAAGCCTCAAAGAAAACAACTCCACACTCCCTGAAATCCCCTGCAGTGTCTGTTGACTTGATAAATGTGGATTTATGTTGGCCAAGGGGCCTGCTATTGACTGATTACCATCTCAGCCAATCCTAAGCAAATATCCTACTGCTTTATCCAACCCCAGCTGTGTAATCTGGATCCATTCAGGACTGCATACTGGTTTAACCATTTGTAGACTTTGCAGACTGTTCGTGGCTGTGCGAGAGCAGCAGTAATAGACTTGAAGCCGAGGCGTATGGCCACAGGGACTGAGTGTCGCAAAGCCGCTCTCTCTTCATTCCCACCCTTCAATCCTGCGTCTCAGTCAAACTGTCACCGCTAATGGGGGGCGACCGTTTCAGCAAGATAATTTCCTCAGCCCCAATCAGGGCACGAAGCAGAGGGGAGGCATTTTAACGACACCAATTATGAGTTACTTAACGAGACATATGATTAACATGCACACCGCAGCTCTCGGCGATAGGTCCAACAGCGTTTTCCTCGCCGTTAAAAGCCATCAGGAGCCAGTGTGTGGCTCCGGCAGCCTTTCCTTCAGCCTGTCAAACACTTGTCAGGGGCCCCGGGTCATTTATCCGGCTGCCGCCTTACCGCTGATCTTTGCGGCTGCTCGCTGTTTTTGATCTCAGTCAAAGGGAAAGAATGAGCCTCGGCGTTGTGATCCTGGAAGTCGCTCTGTCTCTGATGTTGGATGGTGACACAAAAAGTAGCTCTGGGGCACAGTATTGAAGTTAAGTTCCAGATCGTGATGATGGCTCCTATGGTTCTTTTGTGTTTTGGAAAGGTAAATTGTGCAAATCATTCGCTTGTGTCTCTGTAATTGCTTCATGCAAGTGAGTGTTCTTTTAGATTTTTACTTTATGGGTTGTTATTAGCCGTGTTTGTCAGATTTCTCCTCAGTGACCTGACTACTTGAAAGCCTGTTGAATAGAGGGAAAGCTGCAAAGAACGTAATTGCTGATCATCAAGATGAATATGTGAATAATTTGGTCAAAGTTAGACTGCCAATTATTTTAAAGGAACTGTGGCTTATCATTTCATTCTCTGCTCCAGAGGATTTAAAAAAATATATATCCCAATGCCACCCCCCCCCCCCCCCCCCCTGCTCAGGCAGCACCCCCCCAAAGCAGTAAACCTATAGGGCAGGGGTGGCCAACCAATCAGAGGTAAAGAGCCAATAATTTTCCTGTGTTACTGCAAAGAGCCACATCATACAGTACACACAGGCACATGCTGGGTGTATGACCCCCGACCTCTCTCTCTCTCCTTCTCTCCTTTGCTCTCAGCCTTTCTGTGTGCTCCCTCCCTCTCTTCCTCTATGTGCCCCTCTCTATCTCTCACACATACAAAATGAAAATCTAAAAATGAACAATAATTGACACACACACACACACACTCACATACAGAAACACACACCTCCGCTCAGCCAGATTTCCTATAAATGTCACAGTCCATGATATTGACAGAAATTGACTTAAACCTCTCCTATTAAGACCAGAGGCCAGTTATAGTCAACCATTAATATTGTGTCTCACACACAAACTCTCAGTTCAAAACATTTGAAAAAAGTAGTTATCTTACTATGCATGTTGCTTCTTGAAATGTACAGAGGATGTGGAAGGGGCTCAAATGCATGAAAGGGCACATTTGCGATCTTTGCGACTTTTTTCTCCCTGTCTGTATCTCACACACAGATTCATGACAGTTATTTAAAAATAAATGAAAATAAATAAAGTGTATTTTTGTTAATTCTCCTCACTCAACTTTTACCTAACCCTCTGACTGACAGAAGCTCTGCTGACAGAGATGCACTTTCTCTCTTGTTTATTTCTTTACCGCGAATCACCAAATTCGGGAGTCTTTCTGTGCCAGTAGCCAGCTTTCCGGGAGCAGGCCTTCTCACACACACATATACAACTGCAAATTGTTACCGTTTTGATTTGACAACATTATATTGAGTTATTCCGGTTTTATCTGAGTTATATTTCTGCCAATCGGAAGCAGATCTCTCCCTTCACTGTCACATCGCGAGTGCCTCCAGTACTGCAGGATCTGCATTTTGATTGGCTAAAGCACTTGAAAACTCTGTAACGATTGGGCTGGAGCTTGTGTGTTGATAACCCTTTGTGAACTGGGATACATATGCGCAAAAAAAACAAAACACAATTAAAATTCTATATGAACTGAGGAGCCGCATGAGACTGGGCAGAGAGCCGCGGGTTGGCCACTCCTGCTATAGGGGAAACACTGGACCCTTTAATATTTTGTAACATAATGCTCTGCAAGAAGTGGGGGAAATGTTAAAATATGGGCCTTCTGTGTGAGTGTGTGCATGCATGTGCGTGTGTGAGCAAGCCTCCTCCCCCCACCCCCCGCCTCTCCCCCGTCAGGTGGGACTGTGATAGGATCCAATTAAGGGAGCTGTAGATACAATGATGATGAATTGCAGTGGTGTGGTAGACTGCCGGACACACACATGCAAACACACACACAGGCCTGGCAAACCACAGAAGAAGAGGGAAGCTAAAAGACAAAGAACAAGGGAGCCAAAGAGGTGGTGAGGGAATCAGGAAGAGATAATGGCGATGCAACAAAAAGAGAGAATGGGACGAATAAAGACAGACAGAGGGGAGGAAGAGAGACTATGCTCGCAAACAAGCAGACTTGGGGACACAAACACATGAGAGGGAAACAGATGGAGGGAGAGTGCTCGTGGAATATAAAAGATGTGCATGTTTGGGAAAGTGATGCTGAAAGAAAAGAAAAACCATGATCTGTGCAAACGTGAAACTGCTGAGATGAACTGGAACTGCAGAGACGGAGAGAGGACTCCAGATGTACCCACTGTGTTATACAGAACAGAACAGAGGTCAGGGAGGTTAGTAACCGTACCATAAATGACATCCTCAAGGTGAACCTCTGCCCATTGTTTGTCTAAATCTATCATTTGAGGCTACACTACATTTGTGTGCTTTCTAGCCGTATCCCGTTTTAAAAGTACACTTTTTTTACACGTGTAGTTTTTGGCAATAAAAGTCCAAACAATTGTTCATACTATAACTAATAGCACATGAAAGAAATACACCAAATGTCCCTTATATGGCACAATATTACAAAACACATTAGTCTCAGGGTGCTTTGCAAATTGATAATCATGAACAAATATTTTATAAAGTTATAAGAATGTAATGTTATCACAAGAATATAATAAAATGTCCACAGTAGAAACACTTATATCACAAGATAGAATGTTAAATAGAAATAAAATAGAGTCAAAAGAATCATTACATGTAAGTCGCTTTTATCCAAAGCGACTTACATACTCAGTACTGAGGGCAATCCCCACAGGAGCAATTTGGGGTGAAGCGTCTCAGGGACACAACGACATGCTGACTGCAGTGGGGTTTGAACCTGTGCTCCCCCGATACCAACACCAAGGCTCTATCCACTGCGCCACACGCCTCCCACATCCTGTAATAGAAATAAAATAGTACAAGAGACGTTGTGTTGCAAGAAAAACGCAGGAATAAGAAAGATATTTAGAGATACAACACAATGTCAAACTTAACACTGAACCATAGAATAAATACCATTTTACTTGTTTTAATTTTGTTGACGTGTATAAGAAGTGTATAGTGAGCTTTTTGCTGCAAACAGCTGACTTTATCTGACTAAAACACTAATGAGAAAAGAAGGGATAAACCAAAAGAGGCAAGTCACAGGCCTAAAAACAATCTCATCTCATTTAAACATTATATCAACCATTGTACTTTAAAAAAGTCATTTGATCAATTGGAAATTAATATATATGAATATTGATTATTGCATCGTTAAGAAACTAAATCTTGAATGCGTCTGTAAATGATAGTCTCCCCTTTCCCCTATAAACACATTCATGATAAGATCCATCTATGAGAGCCTGCATACTCACTACCATTGCTCTGAGTATTCTCAGTGAGGAAGTGTGTGTATGTATCACAGCTGGCTGAGACTGGGACACCACAGTGTCATAAATCACAGAGAAAATTAGCCAGCAGTACATGTACACTCATCCATTCAATCTTACTGTCTCTTTGTGCATTATTTAGCCCCCTCGCCCAACACAACTGCATGCTGAAATACACCAGGGACCCGCACAATGCATGGATGCTCCCTGAGATGTTCACAGGGAAACACGCGCTGACACGCGCACACACGGACAGGATGCATGCAAGCTGTGTGGATACCTTCTGTGATTTTTCTTGGACAACACACGCGTACACACACATCGTCCCCAGGGGTTTGGAGGCTCAACGTGAAGGATACATATGGAGATTCTCCACATGATCTTCTTCCTAATCATGTGGAGCAGACGGAGACTGTAGCATCAGCAACCTGCTTTACATGAGTTATTACACTGACACACATTGGATATCTAAGTGTGTGTGTGTGTGTGTGTGTGTGTGTGTGTGTGTGTGTGTGTGTGTGTGTGTGTGTGTGTGTGTGTGTGTGTGTGTGTGTGTGTCCACAAATTGGTCTAGGCTTTTCTGAAGTCTAGACTTTTCCTAACTTTCAAAAACAAAATGCAAAGTACATGCACAGTGTAGCACATGCACAGTACACACACACATACAGTGTGTTCTTCTGCAACACTGCCTCACACTAAATAAGGTAAAATGTATATTCTTAAGATAATAATAATACTAATAATAATAATTTAAAAATGTATAATTATGTATGTATTAACATAGCAATGCTTATCTCATTAAAATATGTATAGAATTAACCCTTAGATGCCCTTAGAGTGACTGGACCCTACACTCTTCCATAAGTGGGTCAAAAAGGACCCGTATTAGAATAATGTGTTTTTATGACATTTTTGTCAATTTGGTGAAGAGAAAACACTTAATATTTAGTATTATATTTTGGTTCACACTAGAAATATGTTATATTTAATTTGTCACTATTTATAATTTTAGATAAAATGTTT